TGTGAGGGTGGCTGGGGGTGCCCGGCAGGACAGGTGCTGAAGGAATCCACCACTGCAGCTGCACGGGGCGGGCTGCAAGTGAAGGGAGATGAAGACCCGGAAGGTGCTGGGCACTTTCTGGGAGTCCTGTGTTGGGTCGATCCTGGCCTGACACCCCTCGGCGGCAGTGCTAACACGAAAGCTTACGCGTTTTACCAGGCGCTTTAGTGCACACATTTCCCATCCTTTCTGAGGTTGGTGCCAGTCCCGGTTTACAAACACGCAGGGACAAACCCGGGACGGCCGAGGTTTCGCGGGCTCGTCCGTGGCTCGGTGGTTTGGTCAGCCGGCGTCTAAAGCACGCGGCAGGCGCTCAAACCTTGAACCAACCGGAAAGCAAAGGAAAGCTGGGGCCCCCTGGATCTTGGAGGGGAAGGGCTAGGAGGGGCCCGCGCCCACCTACCGCGGCGGCGAAGCAGCTCCGCAGGGCCTCGAACTCCCGCGCGCAGAGGTCCTTGCTTAGGCTGCCGCCTGGGGCCGTGGAGGCCTGCACGCACCTGCCGTACGCCGCGGCCTGCGGAGGGGATGGGCGCGGGTCATGGGGTCCCTTGATCCCGTCACCGCCCTCCCTCCCAGTCACCTCCCCGCGCTGCTCCTACTGTCCAGCAGCACTGGCCTGCCCGCAGCTCCTCACCTCGGCCCCGCAGGCGGCCAGCCGCTCGGGGAAGGCGCGGAGGCGGCTTCGCACGCGGCCCCACACAGCTCCGTTCACAGACATGAGTGGCTGTTCCCAGCGCCCCTGGGCGCCGTCATCTTAGGTCCATCCTCTTCCGGTGTCAAACAGCTTGATAGGTCGGCGCTTCCGCCCATAACCTTTCCTGAGCGTCTTAATTGGCCAGAGCCCCTGCAATTGGCTCTTGTCCTAGTCTGTCTGTGCCCTGGGACTTCGGATTGGCCTAGGCTCAAATTGTTTACGAAGCCAACCTCAGGGCCCGCCCCACCGCGAGGGATTGGCCGGCGGAGCCAGACCCGCGCAGTGATTGGAGAGCCCGGGCCTGGCGGAAGCGGGGCAGACCGGGAGGGGACTTGGATCATGGCTGCCGCGCCGCAGCTACGGGACCGCCTGAGCTTTCTACACCGGGTGAGTGAGGGCGGTCCGCCCGGGCCCCGGCCCCACGGCTTCTCTCGAACGCCGCGTTCCCCGGATTCGCCCCGGGCTTGAGCCGTTGACCTTGCGTCTCCGCGCCGGGTAGCTGCTCCCGGCCCCTTCGCCCGCGCCGACGCCCCTGAGCTGCCCGCCCGCCGCGCCGTCCCGGGGCCTCCCAAGCCGGACCCGCCGAGCGCAAGGGCGATGGGCACAGCCAGACCCTGGGGGAACGAACAGGCCTCGGCCAGCATTCAGTGGGATCCGACAGGACGGAAGGAGCGGCGGACCCAGTGGACGTGGAGCCGCTCTGTCCGTGCTGCCGGCGCCCAGGTGGGCTGGCCGCCCGCCGTCCTCCCTAACGGTGGCGTTTCAGAGGACTCCGGTCCTGGAGAGGCACCCCTGGGTTGCAGAGAACACAGACATTTCGAAGGGACAGGGAAGGACACACCGTTGTAAGCCCCTCTTAGTAAACGCTCTGAGAAGGAGAGGCCGGGCCAGTTCCCAGGGGTCGTCCTGAGCAAACTGCCCTCTTTTGTCAGCCCTCAGCTTTCCTGGGGGGGACCTCAGAGGGGGCTGGGTGGGCCCAGGGCGCGGCCTTGGGCTGCCAGAAGCCACGCTAGGGTTGGTCAAAGCTCTCAGTGCAAGGTTTGGACAGAGTCGTTGTGTGCTGCGTTCTGCCGTTGTCAGCTGTCACCTGCAAACCTGTCTAGCTCCCCTTAGGGCTTGGTGGGCAAATAGTGTCAGTGATGTGTGTCCACAGCCTCGGGAAACACTTCAGGTCCACGTTTGCGTGTATTGTCACTAGATCTCCGCGCTTCCAACTGAAAGGCTTCAGCACCTCACGTGGTCGGTCCCATGCTTGTCCTCTTAAATACTCTTGAACTCTGTTCTGTCCTGAAACTGAATAATGCAAAAATGGGTGGTTCCAGTTTTCATCCCTATAAGCTCTACATCTTTGTGCCAGTAAGTAAGCATGAAACAAATAAGTACATCTGCTGTTAGCGAACATAAAACACACGACATCGGTCGGTTCTTGGGGAGCGATGGAGCCAGTCAGGCTGAGCGGCTGTCACTCTGCCCATCCGGGCTGTTGGGAGGTGGAACCATTCATAGTCCCCTTCGTGGAAAAGGGCTTGCCTGGGCCTTGTTTGGCTTTGCTAGTCAGTAGGTAGGTACAGGAGAGGTACTTTCAAATAGCCTTATGTGCTGGTATGTGCAGGGAGGCTGGGGGCTGTGTCCCATCGTAACCCAAGTGGCACAGCTCCTCCGTGGAGACGTGGAGAACCGCCACTGATTTGCCTCTTCTCCAAGGCTGTTCATCCCTGACTGTTGACAGAGGACCCTGCTGCAGCCTCCCTGTGGCCAGTAGCACGGTTCTCAGCCCTTCCCAGGCCTCTCTCCGGCCATGTCAACAGCGATCGGTGGGCCGTTTCCATCCCCTTTGGTGGGGTGTGGATCCACCCCTGTGGGAGATGGCACCTCATCACAGCGGGGCTCTTGTTCCCTTTCAGCTCCCGATTCTTCTGAAGGGGACATCGGATGATGATGTCCCATGTCCGGGCTACCTGTTTGAGGAGATTGCTAGTATCCTTCCTCGACGTACCGTGTGGGGGAAAGAACAGATGGCAGGGCCCAGAGTGGTGCGAAGGGTTCCCGGGGATTCTGCTGTCCCTAGAGGGATCCGCAGCTCCTTTATCATTGTAAGCAGCCGTGGGTGGGGTCTGAAGGCTGCAGTACTGATGGCACAGGAGACCTGAGAAGCCCTGCGCTCCTGACGGCAGAGCCTGCAGGAGGCGCCTCCAGGGAGCATGGACTGAGAGGTCCCAGGGCCCGGTCTCCCTGTGGCCCCGCGCAGCCTTCACCATCTCGCCCTTCCCTAACCCGAGCGTGCCACAGAAATCTCCCACGAGTCTCCGGGCAGCAGCCAGTGCCTGCTGGAGTACCTCCTGAGCCGCCTACACAGCAGCTCCGGCCACGGGAAGCTCAAGGTGAGCCCCTGGGTGGTCAAGGGTCAGGCCCGAGGCCTGGCCCATGGTGGTGAGGCTAGAGGAGCAGATGAGCGGCCCAGGGTGGCAAGCAGCTCTGTGCCCTTTGGGTGCCCTGGGCCCTGCCCTGGGTGTCCCGTGTCCGGCCCGCCCAGCGCTGCTGACCACCCCACTCCCCAGGTGCTGAAGATCCTGCTCTATCTGTGCAGCCACGGCTCCTCCTCCTTCCTGCTCATGCTCAAACGCAACTCTGCCTTCATCCAGGAAGCTGCAGGTACAGGGGCTTTGGACAGTGCGGGAGGGCGGCAAATCCTCCGGGCTTGAGAAGGAAGACTTCAGCCAGAGCCCTCACCTGGGCCTGGTCCCCGTCAAAGCCCCGCGTTGCTGATCCTGGCCCATCCCTGGCCTCTCCACCTGTTGCCCACCCGCACCCCAGCTGGCCGACTCGGCCTCCCCTGACGTGCCCTGCCCCTCCCTCCGCTGGGTCCTCCGTGCCTCCCGTGTGCCCTGGGCCTTCAGCTGCGACTGTCCCTGTGCTTGCTGCCCCGGTTGCCATTGTTTGTTTCTCTGTGTGCCCCGCGGGTCTTCCCCTCCATCCCAGTGCCCACACGTAGCAGACTCAGTGCCTGTTCACACGTCCTCCTCAGGCTGTGGGTTCTTGTTCTAGGGCTGCTCCTCAGAGCCCAAGACAGAGAGAAGCCATGGGAGGGCGGGACTGGGAGGCAGGAGAGGCGGGACCCCGGCCAGTCGGTCTGTCCAGGCAGCAGGTGGGTCTGGGGGAGCTGTCCCGCAGGCTGGGGGGCAGTCCCGTGTGCCTCTGCCTAATGAGGACTTGTGGGGGCTTGGCCTGAGATCTTCCATGGGGCTCCAGGTGGTCACTGGGCACACCATGTCTGGACCCCAGCCCAGCCCCTGAGAGGGGAATTCTGGGGAGGGAGACTGAGTCTCTGTCGTGCCGCTGCTTGCTTATGGAGACCCTGAGCGTGTCCATCCACTGGGCTCACCCCAAAACCGGCGTCGAAACCAGTGTTGCCCCACTTTGTGACAAGTGGGCATGCAGCTCTAGGTGTCCCTCAGGGGCCAGTGCCCTGGGCCACCATCGACAGTTGTGACACATGACTTAGGCGGTAGATGCCCCTGAAGGAACGGCTGTGTGAGGGTGCTCTCGCCATCCTAATAGAGCTCCTCACAGTTTTGGGGCCAAGGCAGTACCAGCCATTTATCCTCACCATTCAGCGGGTCAGAGGGCCCGGGGCTCCCAGGCCACTCCCGTGGCTGTGGTTGGTGCATGTACGTTGTGGCTTCAGTGGTCTCGGGGACATGCCCTGGGGTGGGGGCTGCAGCACGTGGGGGGATGGGGCATGGAGGCCCTGAGGATGGGAAAGGCTGTTCTTCAGACCCTGGGTTCTTGTTGGCACTAGAGTCTCTCCTGTGCAGAGGCAGTTGTGGATGATGGCTGTCGCCTGCCGTGCCTGGGCACTGGCCCTGGGCGGCGCACAGGCTGTGGGAGGTGTCACGACAGCCCTGTGAGGAAGGCGGGCGCCAGATGCTGCACGTGAGAGACGGGGCGCCCCCCGCCAGGCGGCGGGTGTGCAGTGAGGATGGCCCACCCCACGCACGCAGAGCGTCAGAAAGAGGAAAGAAACACAAAACGCAGCTGACAGTTAAAGACAGGTTTTCTGTTTTGTTTTTTTTTTTTTTTTGAGACGGGGTCTCGCTGTCGCCCAGGCTGGAGTGCAGTGGCGCGATCTCGGCTTTATGCCATTCCCCTGCCTCAGCCTCCCGAGTAGCTGGGACTACAGGCGCCCGCCACCGCGCCCGGCTAGTTTTTTGTATTTTTAGTAGAGACGGGGTTTCACTGTGTTCGCCAGGATGGTCTCGATCTCCTGACCTCGTGATCTGCCCGCCTCGGCCTCCCAAAGTGCTGGGATTACAGGCTTGAGCCACCGCGCCCGGCCCAAGACAGGTTTTCTTTAGTTAAAACCTGAGAGGCGCCCCCAGCCGATTGTGGTCAGAAGCCCCTTCTTTTACAGACTAAGCGTGTATTGGTTTTAGAGTGAGGGCTCATCAGGAGCTCGGAACGTGTGTGTGTGTGGAGAAGTTCGTGGCTGGGGTGGACGGACGGGAGGTTATCTTGGGACATCTTTCCAGCCCAGAGGTGGGTTTTCTCGAAGCTGGCGTCTTCCCGGCCGGAGGAGGGTTGTCTCGGGCTGGCATGTCTCTGGTCGGGGAGGAGTTTGGAGTGTTTCTGGTTGGAGATGTTATTTGTAGTTTATGATTGTGCTGACTTTAGCCATTAGGCTGATGCCTTTTGGATTTAGGTGGTTTTTGGTTAAGGTGAACTTTAGAATGAGGGGCTTGTCCAAGACGGTGATGCTCCTGCTCTGTCACAGAGGAGGGCCAGCGCGAGGTGGCAGGCGGGTGCCCTGGGCTCCTGCGGGAAGATGGCAGCTGCTGGGGGTCAGTTTATCCAGCCACTGACTCAGCTTGCGGCTGCCACCCTGGGCCCAGGGACAGCCAGGGGCGTCGTCTGCGAATCACAGGGCCAGCCTGCCAGGGTGGTGACAGGCAGCCAAGGGGCGCGAGTGGATTCGTCTGTGACTGAGGCTCTCCGGGGGTTCTCAGAGGCGCGGCTGTCAGCATGAGCCCTGAAAGGATGCCTCGGCTCCAGGTGCAGGCTCAGGAGGCTCTGGGGCCGGAAGATTTAAGGACAGGAGTCCCAGTTCACCGTGAGAGGAACTCTCAGGGCACGGGAGCCCGAGGCGGCTGAGACTGAGGATGGGTGGGTCCAGGCGGAGCTTTCAGGCTGTGATAAGAAGGCTGGTGTCTCCCTCCAGGCCCCGGCAGCCTCCGAGGGGTCCCTGGTGCACCTGGGGCAGGGAGAGTGGGCTGCGGGGAGGCCGCACCAGCTCAGGCACCAGGGGTTGCCAGCCCTGGGGGAGGCGAGGTGGTTGCATGGAGAGAGACTCGCCTCTGTGGGGCATGGGTGGGGGGAGCTGAGGGTCTGCTCTGGTGTGGCCTCTGCGGGGTCCTGGAGGAAGGCGTGCCAGTGGCCGTGACAGAAGGGCCCGGGTGGCAGGAGCTTGCCATCCTGGAGTGGGCCCAGTTCACCATGGTCTGCAGGGAGCAGCGGTGCCAGGCTCAGCCCTGCCCCCCACTTGCCTTTTATGTTCTGCAGCTTTTGCGGGGCCCCCAGATCCTCTGCACGGGAACAGCTTGTACCAGAAGGTTCGGGCGGCCGCGCAGGTGAGCCCAGGAGCAGTGTCGCTCTGCGGGGTGCCCTTCCTCCTGTAGAGGGCAGGACTGGGGCCAGGATGTCAGCTGGGGGGTTTGCAGTTCCCCTGCCCGGGACCCCTGCCTCTGGGGGACAGAACACAGCTGATACGGGTGGCAGGGCGAGTACAGGAGGCCCCGGCATGAGGACGCTGAGAGCCTCCGCCTCCCCATGTAGGACTTGGGGAGCACCCTGTTCTCGGACACCGTGTTGCCACTGGCTCCCTCCCAGCCTCTGGGGAACCCGCCTGCCACAGGTAGGTGACTGAGGGGACCGTGTCCAGTCCCGGCACCGGGTTTCTGCCTCCCTGAGTGTCCTCGGCGTCTGTGCCACCCATGGGCAGGGCCGACGGTGGGGGCCGACTTGCCGCTGACAGAGGACCCTCTGCAGGCATGGGCTCCCAGGCCAGGCCGCACAGCACCCTCCAGGGTTTCGGCTACAGCAAGGAACATGGCCGCACGGGTGAGTGGGAAGGGCCTGCATGGGCCCCGGCATCTCAGGGTACAGGAATGAGGAGGGCAGTGGGGGCCGGACCATGCTGCCCCACCTGGTAGCTGCTGCCCCCCGTCCCCTCCCCTACACGGCCTCAGCCCTTCCTGGGGCTGTCCCCACTGCTGCCGTGGGGGTGGGGCAGGTGTGGCCAGGGCTGCTTTATGGACAGGCGAGAGAAACCAGGCCCAGCAAGAAGTCAGGGCTGAGCCCCATGGCAGGGGGAGTCCCACTCCGAGAGGGGCTGAGGGCTGTGCCCTGGCTGTAGTGTGAGTGACTCGGGCAGTCCCGTGTGGGGCTGTTACAAGCTGGGGCAGTGCCAGTGGACAACTACTCGTTAGCGCCAGAAGAACCACAGGTGGCACCACTGCCTGCAGCTGGGACCCAGCCCCCGGCCCAGCTGTGCCCTGCTGCCAGGCCCCGGGCGGTGTCTCGCCGCTCACCGTTAGGCTGTGTCACACTGTCCTGCACGCAGCCCGGGGCTCCTGCTGACACTTTGGTGTGGGGGCACCTTCTACAGGGAGCTCACACGGGAAAGGCCGGCCCCTCCCCAGCCCTGGACACACCTCCCTGAGCCAAGGCCGAGCCCAAGCCCCTTAGGACACCCTCACCCCCAGAGGACAGAGCAGAGGGACGGAGGCATAACTGCTGTGAGCTGGGTGTCCAGGCCACTGGGCGTGGGAATGCCAAAGTGGAGTCCACCGGGAGCTTCCAGAGGGCCTGGGGTCCACCCGGAGGCCTCCCTCCCTGCAGCGTGTACCCCGACCTCCCCAAGCCTGAGCAGGGAGCCCATGCGGGCACCCCGCTCCCAGAGAACGCGGGTGGGGGCCGCACTGGGCGGCCGTCCCATCTCCCTCTCCTCAGGTGCAGGCTCGGCAGGCGAAGCCTTCCTCTCCACCATCCAGAAGGCCGCGGAGGTGGTGGCCAGCGCCATGCGCCCCGGGCCCGAGAGTCCCAGTACCCAGAGGCTCCTGCCGCGGGGTGACACCTACCAGCCTGCCACGATGCCTTCAGCCAGCCACGGTCCCCCACCCCTGGGGAACCCACTCCCTGGGGCTATTCCAGGTCCCCGAGGTATCGAGGCAAGGGCTCCTCCCCTTGGGGTCTGGGTCACTCCTTCCTGTCACCGCTGGGGCTTTGCAGCCATGGAGGCAAATCCCAGGGCCTCCCACACAGCAGGAGGGGACGGGACCTGAGGTGGAAGGAGATGCCCACTGGGGCTGGTGTTTGCTGAAGCTGGAGCCAAATCCTCAGCTCAGGACTCAGTCCCCAAGGCCTTGGTCCAGGGCCCCGGGAGGTGGGCATGGGGCTGGCCTGAAGCCCTGGGGATCTCACTGGCCATCCTGTTTCCTCCAGCCGTGAGGCATCAGCCTGGGCAGGCCGGAGGGGGCTGGGACGAGCTGGACAGCAGCCCCAGCTCTCAGAATTCCTCCCAGAACAGTGACCTGAGCAGGGTCTCAGACTCGGGCAGTCATTCTGGCAGCGACAGCCATTCAGGGGCCAGCCGGGAGCCGGGCGACCTGGCAGAAAGGTGAGTGGGAGCTGCTGGGTATGCGGGAGTGGTCTCGGAGCCACCACACTGCCCCCCACCGCAGCACGGCTCCTGCTCTCCAGGTTCTCCCCAGTGTGAGGCAGCGGTGGGGGCACGGCCCCAACTCACCCTTGACCTGGCCATTCCCCCTGGCAGGGTTGAGGTGGTGGCCCTGAGTGACTGTCAGCAGGAGCTGAGCTTGGTGAGGACTGTGACTCGGGGACCACGCGCCTTCCTGAGCCGCGAGGAGGCACAGCACTTCATCAAAGCGTGAGCGCGCCTGGACCCGCCCGGCTCTGCCCCAGCCCCAACCCTGGGCGAGGGAGGAGGGGACGGGCCGCACTCGCCACCCAGGTGTCCCCTCTGTGCAGGTGTGGACTGCTCAACTGTGAGGCTGTGCTGCAGCTGCTGACCTGCCACCTGCGTGGGACCAGTGAGTGCACGCAGCTGGTGAGCTGCGCATGCGGGCGGGAGGGCGTGACTGTGTGCACATGCCTGTGTGCGGACGTTCCTGTGTGTGTGTGCGTGTGTGTGCTTGTATGTGCGCACCTGTATGTGAACATTCCTGTGTGTGTGGCTGTGCCTGTGCACGTGCCTGTGTGTGTGCATGTGCCTGTGTGTGTATGCCTGTGCATGTGTGCGTGTGTACATGACTTCATGTGTGTGGTTGTGTATGTATGTGCCTGTGTGTGCGTGCACATGAAAGTGTGGACACGCGTGGGCATATTGCAGGGGCGTGCAGAGGAATGAAGGTAAGGCGATCGGGGCAGCAGGTCACGTGCTTCTCGCTGGGGTCTGTCCAGGAGCCGGGGAGGACATGGCTCTGGTGTTCGGGAGCCGGGGTATAAGGCGGTGAGGACAGGGCTCTGGTGTTCAGGAGCCGGGGTGTAAGGTAGTGAGGACAGAGGACAGGGCTCTGATGTCTGGGAACTGGGGTGTAGGGGGGGTGGTGGGGGGGAGCCGGGGTGTAAGGCGGTAAGGACAGGGCTCTGGTGGAGCTGTCCCTGGTGCCTCCTGGAACTCCGGTCATTGAGGAGGAGGGAGAATAGGGAGAGAGATGGCCAGACAGGCCTCCCTGGCATGGACCTGCTGCCCCATGCGTGCTAATGTCCCCTCCCTTCGTCCGCAGAGGGCCCTGTGTGCCATCGCCTCCCTGGGGAGCGCCGACCTCCTTCCCCAGGAGCACATCCTCCTCCGCACCCGGCCGCGGCTGCAGGAGCTCAGCATGGGCAGCCCGGGACCTGTGACCAACAAGGCCACCAAGGTGGGCAGCTGCAGAGTACCACACACACACTGGGGTCCAAGGGTACAGCAGGACATACACTGCAGTCCACGACCACCCTGTCCCTGCCCGGCGCTTGGTCAGCCCTTCCCGGACCCGCCTCCCGAGTCCCCGTCCCGCTGGCAGAGGGAGCAGCAGTGAGTCAGGGTCCTCACCTCCCCATTCCCTTCCTGCCTTCCACCCCAACTCCGCAGCACTCACGGGACACTGGCCTCTACCTGTTCCTGGAAGCCCCCAAACTCCTCTGCCTTAATGTTCCTGCCCTTGTGTCTTGGCTCACACCCACCTCTTCCAGGAAGCCCTCCCTGACTGCACATGCAGTTTGCCACCCATGGCCCAGCTCATGCTCAGCTCCGGAGGGCAGAAGTGGTTCCATTGATCTCTGTGCACTTGAACACTCCGAACTGCCTGGAGGCTGCTGGAATCACACTGGGAGGCCTCTCTCTGCTACCAGGCCCTGGCACCCTCCCTCTGCCTGTGGACACCCCCAGTTTCTTTCTTCCTGTTTTCTCCCTGGCTGCTGGAAACCCAGGACCTCAGTCACCCATCCCCAAGTCGTCCTTATCTAGCTCACCTTTCAGTCAGAGCGACAAGTGAGCCTGGGGTTTGCACCACCGCAGGCGAACCTCGTAGTGGGGTTTCTAAAACGGGGCATGCTGGAAGAACCCTGCGTCCAACAGTTGGAAACACCCAGATGTGCCGGGCCACGTGTGTTCACTCCCTCCAGCAGTGCCCGGCGGGTTATGACGGGGAGGGTGTCCGTTGGTATAGTAGTGAGTGAAGGAACAAGATTTGAGGTGTGTGTGTGACACCTGCCCCCTGTCGCCAGCACCAGCCCAGCAGCTGCTCTCAGTGGGATGACAACTGGGTGCACTGCTCCAGCCCCCTCCTGGCAGCCGGCGTCCTGCCCAGAACTGGCCCTGCCCTCTGAGTGGAGGGACTGAGGAGGCCCTAGGGAGAGGCGGGCCCTGGTCCCCACAATTTCCAGGGTTGCATAGGAATCTCCCTGGTTCCTCCTTCCTTCCTCTTTCAGATCCTGAGGCACTTTGAGGCCTCCTGTGGGCAGCTGTCCCCTGCCCGGGGCACCTCAGCCGAGCCTGGCCCCACAGCCGCCCTCCCAGGCCCATCTGACCTGCTGACTGATGCTGTGCCTCTTGCTGGGAGCCAACTCTTCCTCGAGCCTCTGAGTTCAACCGCAGTCTCATGCCAGAGCCCTGCTCCCTCATCTGGGATGCCGCCGAGCCCTGTGCCCACCCCACCCCCGGATGCCTCCCCCGTTCCAGCCCGCGGAGACCCCAGCAAGGCCAAGGCCAGACTGGCAGAAAGCAGGGGGTGGGGACCTGAACGGGTCCTGGGGGGCACAGACAGCCCAGAGAGAGGCTCCAGCAACTGTGCGTGGAGCCGCGACTCCTTGTTTGCTGGTATGGAGCTGGTGGCCTGCCCCCGCCTGGTGGGGGCCGGGGCTGCTGCAGGAGAGTCCTGCCTTGATGCTCCCCAAGCCCCGCAAACATCATCCCAGAGGACAGCAGTCAAAGAGCCTCCTGGCTCAGAGCCGTCAGCTTTCGCGTTCCTGAACGCCTGACCCGATGGCCTGGCCCTGGAGCCTTCAGCTTCAGCTGCTGCCTGGGGGGCTCTGTGCTTCCTGAGCAGCCTCAACCGTAGCTGCTACAGTCTCCAGGCAACTTGACCTGAGAGGAGGACCCTAGGGCTACCTCAGTTTCCCCCATCTCCTCTGCCAGAGGCTCTGGCTATTTGGACTTGAATTCCTACAAGGGATAGGCAGGTGGCAGGGCCTCAGAAATGTTGATCTCAGGAGTCCCAGGGGGCAGCCCCTGCTTGTCTTGCCCTCAGACATGAGGTTTCTTGTGTGAATATGGAAGCGACTACCAGGTTCTTTATTTCATTTTGATCTCAGCTCCCTCCTTCCCCAGGAGGTCATGAGCAGTAAGCCACCGCCTCCCCATCCCTTCGGGGTGGGCTGGGGGCTGAGGCTGGGTTTGGTGCACGTGGGTTGAGGGTGTCTTGTCCGGGCTGCCTTGTGCCGTCTGGTCTTTGACCATTTCAAGTTTCAGATCCCCACGTGGCCCTTCCCTGGCTCTCACCTGCTCCTTCATGCTGTAATTGCTTCCCGCACACGAAGCCTCTGATTGGAGCCTCTGGTCCATCTCAGAAGAACCTTCCGAGAGCGCTGGGGTTTATGCTTTCTGAATAAACACTACTGTTTACATGAAGCTGGGCCATTTATTTTTCTTCTTTTGTGTATGTGCATTTTAATAAAAATACCGTCAATAAGGGGCACACGCAGAGGACTGCTTTCCTCAAAGTAGGGACAGGCGTTATTCCTAAAACGTGATAGAACTCCCCAGTGGCACTATTCTTGCAGTTAACCTTAATGGCAAGGTTTTAAACTATGAAACTCAGTTTCTTAAATAAATAAGAGACTATGTGGGTTCTCTATTTCTAATTTCAGCAGTTTGTGTCTTCAGGGGATTGGTCCATTTTATATCAGTTGCCGAATTTGTGATTCCGTTTTTTGTAGTATTCCTTTATTCTTCATTTCATGCCTGTGGGGCCTGTAGTCACACTATCACGCTCTTCCGTTCATGCCTGTGGGGCTGTAGTCACACTACCACATTCTTCCTGTCATTCCTAATATAGGTCACTTGTTTTCCCTTTTTCTTGGCCAGGCAGTTTATTAATGTTAGTTTCTTCAAAGAACGAACTTTTGGTTTTATTTTTTTCTACTTCACTAATTTTTCAGTTTCTTAGTTCACTAATTTCTGTTCTTTATTGTTTTCTTTCTTCTGCTTTGGGCTTATTTTTATTTTCTCAGTTTCTTTTTTTTTTTTTTGAGACAGAGTCTCATTCTGTCGCCAGGCTGGAGTGCAGTGGCACAATCTCGGCTCACTGCAACCTCCGCCTCCCGGGTTCAAGTGATTCCCCTGCCTCAGCCTCCTAAGTAGCAGGGATTACAGGCGCCCACCACCATGCCAGGTTAATTTTTTGTATTTTAGTAGAGATGGGGTTTCACCATGTTAGCCAGGATGGTCTCGATCTCCTGACCTCATGACCCACCCGCCTCGGCCTCCCAAAGTGCTGGGATTACAGGCGTGAGCCACTGCGCCTGGCCTATTTTTTCAGTTTTTTAAGGTGGAAGCTTAGATTATTTATTCGTGACCTTTATTTTCTAATGTGAGCATTGTAATGCTATAAATAGTTCCTGTGAACACTACTTTGGCTGCATCCTGTGAATTTTGGTACGTTTAAATTTTTATTTAGCTCTAAACATTTTAAAATTTATCTTGAGACTTCCTTTTTGTCCAATGGTTTATTTTAGGGCATATTATGTTATGATTTAATTCTGATATAGTCAGCATATTTTGTATGATTTCTGTTATATTGTTTAAAGATTTCAAGCTTAGGCAACATAGCAAGACCCCATTTTTACAAAAAAAAAAAAAAAATTAGCCAGGCATGGTCCCGCTACCCAGGTGGCTGAGGCAGGAGGATTGCTTGAAATCCGCAGGTCAAGGCTGCAGTGAGCCATGATTGTGCCATTGCACTCTAGCTCTATCACCTAGTGCAGTGGTGCAATCACGGCTCACTGCAGTCTCAACCTCCTGAGTTCAAGCACTCCTAAGCAATCCTCATGCCTCAGTCACCACACATGGTTTTTTGTTTTTTATTTTTATTTTTGGTAGAGACAGGGCTCTCGCTGTGTTGCCCACACTGGTCTCCAACTCCTGGCCTCCTGCAATTCTCCCACCTCAGCCTCCCAAAGTATCAGGATGACAGGCATGAGCTGCTGTGCCTGGCCTCACACTTTTGTTAAGGATTTCAAACTTTTGTTAAAGTTTGTTTTGTGGCCAAGAATATAGTTTATCTTGGTGGATGTTCCATGTACACTTGGTCTAGAAAACTAGAGATCAATATCCTTGGGAATACAGATGCAAAATTCCTCAAGAAAACAACAAAATGAATCCAATAATATACGAAAAGTGTAATACATTGCTCTTAAGTGGAATACATCCCAGGAATGCAAGGCTGTTTCAACCTATGAAAATCAGTGTAATTCAATCCATCGTATTAACTAATAGTAAAGAAAAACCTCATGTTCATTTTATGCAGAAAAAGCAAGAAACAAAATAAATTCAACATTCACTCATGACCCCAAAACGCTCCCAAATTTGACAAGCTAGAAATGTAAGAGATCTTTTGCATGGCAAGGGGCTTTTGCAAAACCCCTCAGCTGACATCGTGCTCAATGCTGAAGGGCTAATGTTTTTCCCCTGCGATTGGAAAGAAGGCCATGGTGTGCACGCTAACCATTTCTGTTCAGCACTACACTGAAGCCCTGATCGGTTCAATAAAGCAAGAAAAAACAAGAAAGACAGGCTCATTAGAAAGGAAGAAATAAAACATACTGTTCACAGAAAACAGGACTGTAGAAAATCCCATGAAATCTACCAAAAACTTCCTAAGAAGTGAGTTTAGCAAAGATGCAGGCTCCAGGGTAAATACACTAAGATCAATTACACTTTTGTAACAGCAATAAACAATGGGACATTAAAGCATAAAAAACTACCATTTGTAATGGCACTCCAAAAATGAAATAATTAGGTGTAAATTAGAAAGATATATGTAGGATGTGTAGGCTGAAAACTACAAAATACCGATGAAAGAAATCAATGAAGATCCAAATCAGTGGAGAGATATACCATGTTCATCAGTTATGGTGTCAATTCTTCCCAAATTACAGGTCTACAGATTTAGATAGTGACAAGTTGAAACTAAAATTTATAAGAAGACTCAAAAGAATTGGAATAGCCAAGGTAATTTGGAAAAAGAAGAACAAAGGACTGAAAACCTGATTTCAAGATTTACTATAGGCCAGGTGCAGTGGCTTACATCTGTAATTCCAGCACTTTGGGAGGCGAAGGTGGGAGAATTGCTTGAGCCTAGGAATTTGAGACTAGCCTGAGCAATAGGTGAGACCCCCATCTCTGCAAAAAAGAAAAAGGAAAAAAAAGGCACACTAATCAAGTGGTATTGGTGAAAAGGTAGAAACACAGATCAATGGACTAGCATATTGTTCAGAATAGACCATATGGTCAATTGCGCTGCTACAAACATGTAAAGGTTCTTTTTGAAAATTTTTTGCACATGGAGACTTAATGAAGAAAGAGCAGCCTTTCAACAGATGGTACTGGAACAACTGGGCCTCCATATGCAAAATAGAAAAATAGAACCTTGGCCCATACCTCACACCTTACATAAAATTTAAACTGAATCATAGACCTAAATATGAAAGCTAAAACCATAAAACTTCTAGAGGAAAACAGAGGAGAAAATATTGTCTCTGGATTAGGCAATGTCATCATATATAAGATATAAAAAGCACAAATAATAAAAAGTTGGACTTTATTAAATTTAAAAACATCTCTTTGGGCCAGGTGTGGTGGCTCACGCCTGTAAGCCCAGCACTTTGGGAGGCCGAGGTCGGAGGATCACTTGAGGTCAAGAGTTCAAAACTAGCCTGGCCAACATGGCAAAACCCTGTCTCTACTAAAAATACAAAAGTTAGCATGGTGGTGCAAGTCCCCGCTACTTGGGAGGCTGAGGCAGGAGAGTAGATTGAACCCAGGAGGCAGAGGTTGCAGTGAGCCAAGATCATGCCACTGTACTCCAGCCTGGGCGACAGAGGAAGACTCCATCTCAAAAACAAAACAAAATAAAACAAACTTCTCTTTGAATGACACAGTTAAGAAAATGGAAAGAAGCCACAGACTGGGGGAATTTATTTGCAAATCACACATCTCATGAAAGACATATAAAGACCATTTGAAGAACACTGAGAAGTAAAAAATAAACCACCCCAAATTTCAAAGATGGCAAATGATTTGAACAGATACTTCACTAAAGAAGATACATGAATACCTCACACAGAAGCACATGAATAGATAGATTCTCAACATCGTTAGTCTTCAGGCAAATGCAATTTATAAAATATTGGATCTCATTACATACCTATTAATATGACTTAAACACATAAAACCAGGCTGGGCGCTGTGGCTCACGCCTGTAATCCCAGCAATTTGGGACACTGAGGCAGGCAGATCATGAGGTCAGGAGATTGAGACCATCCTGGCTAACACAGCAAAACCCCTTCTCTACTAAAAAAAAATAAAAATTAGCCGGGCGTGGTGGCAGGTGCCTATACTCCCAGCTACTCGGGAGGCTGAGGCAGGAGAATGGTGAGAACCCTGGAGGCAGAGTTCTCAGTGAGCCAAGATCACATCACTGCACTCCAGCCTGGGCAACAAGCAAGACTCTGTCTCAAAAATAAATACATTAATTAAATAAAAACAAATAAATAAGTAAACGAATAAAACCAAACCCTGACAATACCAAGAGCCAAGGAGCAACTGCAGCGCCTGTGGCGCTGGTGGGAGTGTAGAGCTGTATAACTTCTTTGGAAAACAGCTTAGTAGGTCGGTGCGGTGGCTCATGCCTGTAATCCCAGCACTTTGGGAGGCCGAGGCGGGTGGATCACCTGAGGTCAGCAGTTCAGAAGACCAGCCTGGCCAATATGATGAAACCCTGTCTCTACTAAAAATACAAAAATTAGCCCGGCATGGTGGTGCGTGACTGTAATCCCAGCTACTCAGGAGGCTGAGGCAGGAGAATCGCTTGAGCCCAGGAAGCGGAGGTTGGAGTGAGCCAAGATCATGCCATTGCACTCCAGCCTGGGCGACAGAGTGAGACTCCATCTCGAAAAAGAAAAGAAAAGAAATGAAAAAATAGCTTGGCAGTTTCCTTTTTTTTTCTTTCCTTTTTTTCTTTTTCTTTTTGAGACAGAGTCTTGCTCTGTCGCTCAGGCTGGAGTGCAGTGGTGATCTCCGCTCACTGCAATCTCCACCTCCCAGGTTCAAGCGATTCTCCTGCCTCACCCTCCCGGGTAGCTGGGACTCCAGGTGGACGCCACCAGGAACTGGTAAATTTTTTGGATTTTTACTAGAGACGGCTTTTTGCCATGTTGGCTAGGCTGGTCTCGAAATCCTGACCTCAGGTGATCCGCCCACCTCAGCGTCGCAAGGTTCTAGAATTACAGGCGTGACCCACCGCGCCCAGCCGGCAGTTTCTTATAAACTGTCATATGATCCAGCAACCCCACTGCTGGGTATTTACACAAGAGAAATGAAAAGTTGTGTCCACACAGAAGCCGATGAGT